TAAAGTGAAAACGTAGAGTTGTAGGGCTCGATTTGTGCAGTTTTACTTTCATTTCTTCAGAATTACAACTTCAAACCCCAGAGTGCCTCTCTTAAGACTTCTATAAGCCAGAATGCCTCTCTTAAAACTTTTGAAGCTAGCATTACTCGCTTGAAACTTCTGTAAGTCGAAATGTCACAATTAAAACTTCTGTAGGCCAGAGTGACACAATTAAACCTTCTGCAAGCCAGAGTGCCTCACTTAAAACGTTTGAAGTTAGCATTACTCGCTAAGATTGGTTTTACATTTCATTTTTTAATTGTTTGTTTGTTTATTGGAAAGCACAAAGCTACACAATGGGCTATCTGTGCTGTGTTGTGCTCATCACAGGTATAGAGACTTGGTTTCTAGCGTCAGAAGTCCGCAGATGTACCACTGTGCACCTGGGGGGGGGGGGAGAGGGGCTTTTTAATTGTAAATTCTTAAAACCAGTTTGAAAAATTTACATATTGTTTAACATAAGCAAACGTAAAATTATCACAATATCAGAGCCAGACATCATAAATAGTACAATAATTGCAGTAAGCCACATTTACACTGGATTATTCTTAACAATAGTTTACATACTGGTTTTTGTTTCATTTCTTTCTTGATTCACCTTTATAAGAATAATAGGGAAATTCACAAGACATAGCTGTATCTGCCCCTAGAACAATTTCCCTGTAAGATGTGAGAATGTTAAGTAAGAATTCACTATCCATCACTTGATTGTTTTATAAGTAAGTTGTTTATTTTAGGACAGGTAATTTTAATGTTTTTAGTCAGTGTAAAATATAAACTAAATTTACCAACAGTAAAGAAATACTGTGTAAATAAATAAGTAAATATATATATCTAATATTTTTAATGGTGTAATGGTCATCACACTAACATGCCATACCAAATAATTTGCGATGAACATTAACAATATATTAGGAAGTATATTTATGAGTTACATGTGAGATTTTTCAATATTTAATATATTATTTACATCATGTCGTATAAGTAATTATAAAGAACATGCACACTGTGGGTCGATTACTTCATGCTGAAGGATTGCCTTTTAGTACTGTAGGGGGCTGTCACTGAGATAATTCTTAAGGTTGAGAGTTGATGCGTAAATATTACAAGGAAAACAACAATGATTTAAAATGTAGGGATTAAACCATTACATATATTATATACAAAATGATAATCTATATACTACTAAAACTCTGAGATTGTTTGTTTATTTGATTGTGTGCTTGTCTGTAATTAAATACAGCAAAACGGCGCATAATATGAGAATAGAAATATAAGTAGAATATGAGAAATGAGAATAGAAACAGAATAAAACAAGTTTCGTTAAAATCGGACCACGGGTTACCAAGTTAGCGCTGTTTTTCGGGTCACTTTTCGTACATTCCATTATTATAAAACTTCGTTTTCCACCTGATGAATCACTTTAAAATATCTTCTATACAACAATATATGCACAACAGAAATTAAATGATGAAATAAAAATGTGTTATAACGGTGCATAGAAAGAACAAAAATAAAATGGACCTACAATATTATTGGCTATTTGCAAATAGTAACTATGGAGACGAGGTAATAAAATAAAAATCAAGTCGAGAACAACAACAAAATTTTATAAACGAAAACCTCTCGCCGAGCATTGGATATTATATTATTTCCCTGTCAATGTTCCCATCTTCATTAAAGGTGTAAGATGACAAAAACAAGATCTTGAAAAATCTATCTGTATACTACTAAAACCCTGAGATTGTTTGTTTGCTTATTTTCTCAGTCAGAAAATCATTCACATAACCGTTCGCGCTCTTTACAAAACTTCTTACTTCACTTTTTTGAAAAATGAAATGGTCTTTCCTTTTACTCCAGATCAACAATCAACTATCTTTTCTTGAATTATGAATAACGCGAATGGATTGAAATATTTAATTAAATTATCTCAAAATAAACCTTCATTTTGGTGCAATATTGAAATTAACTTGAATTCTTCATAACCATTGAATAGTGGTTGACCCAACGGGTCACGGTGGTCTAGTACTTTACAAATCTGATGCATGAGTGGTCTGAAATACCCCTCCCGTTTTTCTTTTAGTTACCAAATTATGTTAAGTCATTATAAGTATATTCCGAAATATCCCACCTTGTTTAATTCTGTAACAATGTGAAACATCAAAATAAACCAACAAACTTTATAAGATCCCCACCAAATAATTTTAAACATCAACTCAAGGGTTTACAAAAGTTTGAGCTTGAGGCTCATTCCCAACACCTTAGACGTCTTAGCTGAGGAACCCATCTAATGATTTAATAGAAATTTTAAATTATAGCAACTCTGAGGTATCTTACTTTCACTGCAGTTTGTTGTTTACAAAATATCAAGCATGAACAACGTTGTGTATTCACATATATTGGAATATATAAAATTCTTGCTGACAATACTGGATGTCAGGGATGTTTTAAAGAGAATATTTCCACGTACACAAAGTAGCTGAGGACTCCCGAGACCATTTCACGGTAACTGCATTACCTCTCTCTCTCCGAAGACTACTGACCATATATAAACTTCACACTAACCACTAAATTCTATATAATAGAATGACCGAATGACTCGGCTACAACAAAAACCTAAGTAATGAAAGATTTAAGATGTGTCGCCTACAAAGATATTTAAATATATTAAGGCCCCATTAGGTGCATAACTGTTATTTTAAGGGATTAAGCATATATAATGAGTTGCATTTTTGTGAGAGATCAACATATTGAATACATTTTAATTATATATGATACTTTTTAATCACCAGAGTAAGCACCAAAAAGCGCGAGGCCAAGAACAGTGGGCTATTTTACCTGTTCTTAGTCCTCATTTGCAAAACAGAAATCCAAAGAAATGTAAGTATTAGTTTTTCAGAATTCTAAACGTCTTTCTTCAAGAAGACACCAACTTACTCCCGATATGTTATTACAGTACTTTTTTGTCTAATGTGATGCTAGGCATAATTATTTTATCTCTTGTAGGCATGATAACTATTACCATTGGACCATACAGGATACTCATACTGTTAACAGTTGTGGCAACAGACTAAAATCCATCCTCATGCATGTGAGCGCTCCATCACTTAGTTAGTGCCTGCTTATCTTTCTAGGATGAAAGATAATCAAGCACTGATACAAAAAACTCAGAATTTAGAGTACCACAAACTTAGCAATAAATTATAATAAACTAGCAGTGGTGGTGCACATAGACCCCTTATTTAACAAACAAGGGCATTGAATAAGAGTATTTCACTTGTCTTTAGACGTCACCTTTTTCTATCTGCAAGCTCTTAAATATGCCTCGAAAGAAATAATTTTGAGTCCTATTTCAACATTTATCAATAAAATATATATGGACGATGCCAAAAAGGACTGTTATATTTGCATGTTTGTTGAATTTCGCACAAAGCTACTTGAGGGCTATCTGCGTTAGCCGTCACTAATTTTGAAATGGTAGACTAGAAGTAAGGCAACTCGTCAACACAACTCATTGCCAACTCTTGGGCTACTATTTACCAACGAATAGTGGTGTTACGTCTCTGGTCGTTTGTTAATTTCTCGTATAATGTCTTTCGGATGAAACTTTAGC